ATAGTAACGACAACCGTAATTGGGCCGATTATCTTTTTTTGTCAATAACAAGGGAGTGTTGCCAACGTTTTTTTAATTGTTGCCAACTTTTATTTTAAACTGTCGATGTCGCTTCTATGCCATACCATAATACCATTTTTGAATCGAAGCGACGGCGAGGGCGACTCGCACATAAAGTCGACGACGACTATAGTAACGACAACCGTAATTGGGCCGAATGCTAAAAACGCTGGCGTAAAGAGTGCGATGATCCTTATGTCAATCCAAAGAATGTTTTTTATTTTAGCCTCCCCAGCATTAGAATACGGATGCATTCTGTGGAGTCCCTTTTACAAATGCTATTCAGATAAAATCGAATCAGTTCAAGTTCATATGTTGCTCTACGGGGCCTTAACTGGAATTCGGAATTATTTCCGTCTTATGAAAGTCGTTTACTGTTAATTGATCTTCCAACACTTGCAAGGCGACGGTTTATGCTAAGAGCGTTATTTATATTCCTTCTCGTAAAACTCGTAATTTCGAACCGTTTAAGTCATTACTCGCATGAACTAATTTCAAAATCAGTAACCCATTGAGGTCCTAATGTGTAATCTACAATTGTCTATGTAATAGTATTTGTGTAAGTAAAAGATCTATTCTCCACATGTGACGACGGACCTTTGGGCCCATTCCAATCGACGAGGCTTGTCCGCAGGCAACATTCTTTGCGTCAATTGAATTTTGTACGGGAACAAATGCAAATCAATGCGAATAATGCGTTGTAAAGTGGACCGAGCCATGCCCAACTGCTGAGAACGGCGTTATTGCGATGTTCTTGGGGACCTCTCAACACTGGCTCGTACGACAGCGATATTCTCGGCCAATCGCCTTGGTTGACTTTTATATGGCCTCTTCGGAGTAGAAAGAGCCTTACCAGTCGAAAACTTTTCGTATAAACGCTTAATGGTGTTCTTAGAAGGTGCACTTCTCACATTTTTTAATGTTTTAAAAGCACGTTGAGTTTTCACAATTGACTTCTTCTGTTGAATGTAAATTTCAACTATTTCGAGTGGCATGTATTGATTTATGGTAAAAATCTGCTTGGACTGACGCTTCAAACGCGGTATGTCATTAAGCGATGTGACATCTCTGTTAAAAGTTATGGCGTTGCCAGATGGGTCCGTCGAATATGGGGAACCCTGTACATGAAATCGGCCGAAAATGTATATGGGAGTTGTATCCAAATCTGAACCGATTTCAATATAACTTGGCAAAATTATTGTTGTTCTAAATTGCGTTACGCATTCCAAATGTGGAGACTGCATCTATAATCGATCAATAGATATGTGCATATTTTTGGGAAGTACCTCCGATTCTGATGCTATATCTCCATGCTTTAAAAAGTGATCACAAATAATAGCTAAAAACGTCGAAAACTCAATATTTAAGGAGTTATGGCCATTTTAAAGTTTTCATGCCCAAATAACTGATAACAACTAATAGCTAAGACCTACGAAAACTCAATAATTAAGGAGTGATGGTCATTTTAAATTTTTCGATAATTCATGCTTTAAAAAGTGATCACTAATAATAGCTAAAAACGCCGAAAACTCAATATTTAAGGAGTTATGGTCATTTTAAAGTTTTCGATAATTCATGCCCAAATAACTGATCACAAATAATAGCTAAAAACGCGGAAAACTCAATATTTAAGGAGTTATGGCCATTTTAAAGTTTTCATGCCCAAATAACTGATAACAACTAATAGCTAAGTCCGACGAAAACTCAATATTTAAGGAGTTAGGGCCATTTTAAAGTTTTCGATAATTCATGCTTTAAAAAGTGATCACAAATAATAGCTAAAAACGCGGAAAACACAATATTTAAGCAGTTATGGTCATTTTAAAGTTTTCGATAATTCATTTTAAAAAAGTGATCACAAATAATAGCTAAAACGCCGAAAACTCAATATTTAAGGAGTTATGGCCATTTTAAAGTTTTCATGCCCAAATAACTGATAACAACTAATAGCTAAGTCCGACGAAAACTCCATATTTAAGGAGTTATGGCTATTTTAAAGTTTTCTATAATTCATACCCAAATAACTGAAGACAACTAATAGCTAAGTCCGACGAAAACTCAATATTTAAGGAGTTATGGCCATATTAAAGTTTTCGATAATTCATGCTTTAAAAAGTGATCACAAATAATAGCCAAAAACGCCGAAAACTCAATATTTAAGGAGTTATGGCCATTTTAAAGTTTCCATGCCCAAATAACTGATAACAACTAATAGCTAAGTCCGATGAAAACTCAATATTTAAGGAGTTATGGCTATTTTAAAGTTTTCGATAATTCATACCCAAATAACTGATAACAACTAATAGCTAAAAACGCCGAACACTCAATATTTTCTAGCTTCCGAACGAAAAGAAGCAGGTTGATTAGAATTTTACTCAAATGTAAATTATGTCTGCAGGACTTTTGGTATTGAAAATGGGTCATGCAGGTCCATGTTTTGGTATAGCCCCTATTTAATGGTACCTCCCTATTTTCGGTATTTTAGTGATTTAAGCGAAATTATTCCCAGGATATGTTTCAAACTTGGTATTTAAAGTTTGGTATAAAATTTATAATACAGCCAAAAACAGAAAATTATCCGCGCGGGTCCACGCCTTCGTATAGCCCTCTTATAACGGTTCCTCCCGATTTTCGACATTTTGATCATTTTAGCCAAATTATTCACTTATTTTTTTTTAATTTCGCAATTGAATATTGTAATGGCTTATAACAAAAGTTACCTATGCGGGTCCATGTCTTTGTGTAGACCCTAATACAACGGCTACATTTGATTTTTTTGAGACTTTAACGGATTTTTTTTTTTTGAAATTTCCAAATTTGTTCCAAATGGTGGGGGGTATTTAAAGTTCGGCCCGGCCGAACTTACTGCTTTTTTAATTGTTATATTTAATTTTATCTGAGCTTACAAGTAAATAGAAAATGTTAAATTATTAATGTTTTTAGAAGACGTTTATTTCAATTAAAATTTATTTTCTTTTTTGGTTTATATTCTATGATCATCTTAAGGTTAATAGTTAAATGTTACGATTGAAAATTAATGATATTTTTCATGTATGGGATTTTTAGAGCAATCATTGTTTTTTTATATACTTTTTCATTTTATGTTTAAAAATTGAAATGTTATAAATAATTTGGCAATTTTTATCTGAAAACTCAGCTAAATCTATGTTATTTTAATATGTGCAACCATTTTTAATATATAATTTGTTCCAAAACATTTTCAATAATTTTTGTAAATATATTGTTTTGCCAAAATCGTTTTCAATTTTAGAATTTGTATTTTATTTTTTCTGCACATTGGAATATACATTGAGTTTTTATGTGGAGTTTGTCATTTTTTATTTAATTTTTTTCTGGAGGGGAATGTTTATTTACTTTTTTATTTGGTTTTGTTTTTTTTTTTTTTTTTTCATTATTTTTATATATCAAAAATTCTAATAATTATTTTAAAATAGTTTATAATCAGTACATTGACTTGGATAAACTCATCATATTTTTTCTTTTTTATTTATATTTGGACAAAGCTTGATGGGGAGAAAACAAGAAAAAAAGCTCATGTGAGGAATCCTTAAAAATCAGTTAAACAAGTAAAAAAGTATCGGTCGGTATTGCCGACAGATGTATACCCTCAGCCAAAGTTTGATTATTTAAAAATATTTTGACTTCTGTTATGATTATTCAAACTCTTGACACCTTATGGAGTGGGTTTTGAAAGAATGGGCCAAGGAAAATGTTGAAATGTGCGTGAGGTAACAGATATAGTCGATTTAAGTATTCCGTTTTCATGCTTCATCTAATACAGATAAAAATCGCTGAGTTGTTTCGCAATTTATGACAGAGAAAAGTATTGAAAATTGTGACACTTTGTGGGTGAGGTACCAGACGGGGTTCGCAGATATATAGCATCCTCACAACATATCTTGTGTTAGCGAGAATGTTGTATGTCTGAAATTTGAAGTGAGTTAAAATCTTGAACCCTATTTGGGCTAGTAGCAATAAAATTGGTCCGATCTCTAACATCTTTATGACAGATCTGGTGTTGATGGAAATATTGAGATGAACCAAGTCTGGAATGTTAATTTCGCGTTTTATGAGCTTCGTGGATATTCAAAATTTTGAGCCTTTGTGGGGGAGGTACCAGAAGGAGAGGATCGATATATCCCATCTTCGCAACATATCTTGTGTTACCAAAAATTTTTGTATGTGTGACATATAAAGAGAACCTGATGCTTATTTCGGATTTTATAAACGTTTTGGTTACACAAAACGTTGACCCTTTGTGGGGGAGGTACCTGAAGGAAAGGTCCGATCTCTACTGTCTTTATAACAGATCCTGTGTTGATAAAAATATTCAGATGTGTCTAGTCTAAATGGAGTTTAATATTACTTTCGCGTTTTTTGAGATTCGTGGATATTCAAAACTTCGAACTTTTATGGGGGAGTTGCCAGAAGGTGTGGACCGATACATTCTGTCTTAATAACATATCTTGGGTTCATAAAAATATTAGGATGTGTGAAATTCGAAGACAATCGGACTCTGACATCACATTTTATAAGAGTTATAAATATTCAAAATTTTGACCCTTTGTGGGAGAGGGACTTGATGGAGTGGTCCGATATTTTTCATTTTCGCACTTGACCTAGTAAATATTAGGATTCGCAAAGTTGGGGCAAAATCGGATTATCCTTTCCCTTTCTGTACAGAAAATATATTTTTTTGAAAATTTCTACCTTGTGTGGGGGAGGTACCAGCAGGAGTGGACCGATATATTCCATCTTAACGCCAGACCTTGCGTCAATATAAATATTGGGATGTGTGAAATTTGAAGACAATCGAACTCTTACATCACATTTTATGAAAGTTTGATTGAAAATTTTGATCCCTTTTTTTTTGGTGGGGGGGGGGGGGGGGTGGTTACTTGATGTTGTGGACCGATATTGCCCATTTCCGAACTCGATCTAAGTTTGACAAAAATATTACGATGTACCAAGTTTGGACCAAATCGAATACTCCCTTCGGGAGTTATCGTGCGCACCAGCCAGCCAGACAGACGGACGGACATCGCTTTATCGACTCCAAAAGTTCTGAAACGGATTTTGTGCAAAGTAACCTAGGGTCTAAAACGGTTATTTCGACAGTATAAAATGACAGTATAAAATGATATATACCATCTCTTGTCATATGACTGAGGGTATAACAAGCCATACGTCTGAGGGTACAAAAGGACTTGGAGCACACTCTTTAAATGTTGTCTATTTTGAGATGACAAAAACTAGATTATATGGCCATATGTCTAGTTTCACACCAATAGACGAAAGGTTAGTTCTCATCCATGCCATGTGAGTTTTCTCTTCTGTTGCCCAAACACCCACAATTGGGAGCCCTTTAAATCCAAAAAAAAAAAAAAAAAAATGTGAATCGATTCTATTTCTTTAAAAGTCTACCATGATTTTCTCTCTAAACTCAACTCTCCATTTTTTCACATTTTCTCCACACTCAAAACTTTGCCCTTACATTTCTTTTTCAATTCTATCTTCCTATAATTTTAAATTGTTTTTCGTTGATTTTAAAATTATTTTGATTGAATCACTCTTTTCTTTTTGGGTAACTTCACGCTAACTGCTTCCTAATCTATTTTCTTACCCTACACTTAATCATCATCACCATCGTCGTCTTCTTCAATATCCTCCTCTGGATCATCGTCGTCATCGTCCTCCAAATCACCTTCATCCTCTTCTTCGTCATTTTCTTCTTCAACCTCTTCCTCATCATCGTCGTCGTCGTCCTCATCATCATCTTCGGCAGCAGGCTTTTTGCGTTTTTGCATTAGTTTCATTTTCAAATGCTTTTTCTTCATATTTTCCTTATTTTCACTGGCCTTTTCACTTTTTTCCAATTCCGATTCACTGATATCATCATCACTGAGATCGCCATCATCTTCCTCATCATCGGCTATCAATTTGGCCTGTTCTCGTTTCTTTTTGCCAGCTTCTGCCAGGATTTTCTTTAAATCTGAAGTATTGGAAATTTTGACACGGCGATTGCTGGAATCCAGGGACTTGACTTTGATCTCATAGAAATCCGTAATACGCTTGTCATCGAAACTGGAATACTGGAAGACAAGAAAACCAAAATTAGTTATATTTTTTTAACCTCTCATCTCAATCTCCAACTTACCACAGAACTTGAGGTGAACAAAAACTCCTCTGGCGTTGTCTTAACCCGAATATATTTTTGCAACAAATTATTACCATCCTTCCGCCACAAACACAAGCGATTATTTTTCCCATAATCTCCCGCCAAATCCTTGATGTAGACCAGCAATTTAATCGCATCCTCTTCACTGCTATTGCCCGTACCATTACCCGACGAAGAACTGTTATTCTTTTCGGAAAATTGTTTTTTGGGCGGTAAACTTGTGGCTGGTTTGGATTTGGTTGCGGAAGCTGTTGTTGCTGCTGCTGCCGCCGTTGGTTCTGCATCGTCATAATCATAATCATCTTCACTAAGATCTTCATCATCTTCTTCTTCTTCGTCATCACTTTCGGCATAGCTGGCGGTTTTACGTTTTGTAGCTCCTTTGGCATTTGCCCCAGCTCCGGCTGGACCACCTTTACGTTTTCTCCCCTTTTTCGATCCGCCACCTGCTGATTTTTGTTGTTTTTGTTTCTTGCCATTTTTATTCGAGGCCGATGGACGCCAATCCTCCTCGGAGTCATCGTCATCGCTGTAATCCTCTTCCGAATCGACAAAAGTTGTCGTTACCATTTCGGTACGGCTTCGCATTTTATCGGACTACAAGAAAAAGGAAGAAATATTGAGAATTAGATATTAAAGTTCCGGGAACAATAGAAAAAATAAATAAAATCTTAGAACTACAACACACATATTCCAGTAGATTCAGAATCTGAGAACAATACTACGCCGTAGTTGAAATACGGGTGTAAATATCAAACGAGTAGAAATGTCAAAGTTCGAACGACTTTGACTTCTAAATTCGAAGTACATAGTGATTCAAATTCGATACTCGGATATGGCAAACCGAAAGAAGGAAATGTGTTGCGAAGTCGAGTTAGTTGGTAGGAAAATTTGCGACAAAATGTATCTAAAAGTTTTGAGTAAAAGTGACAGAAAATCCTATACAAACAGGTAAAAAAGTACCAGTCGGTTTTGCCGATAGATGTATACCCTCAGCCTATCTTCGATTATTTAAATATATTTTGACTTCTGTTATAATTATCGTTCCTCTTTCTGTGCAGAAAATATATTTTTGGAGAATTTCGACCTTTTTAGGGGATGTACCAGAAGGAGTATACCGATATATTCCATCTTAACACCAGACCTTGGGTTAATAAAAATATTGGGATGTGTGAAATTTCAAGACAATCGGACTTTTACATCACTTATTCGAAATTTTGATCCTTTGACCGATATTGTCCATTATGGCACCTTACGTTGAAATGACGCAAATATTAGGATTTTTAAGTTGGAGCAAAATCGGATTATCGTCCCTCTTTCTCTGCGGAAAATATATTTTTTGAAAAATTTGATCTTTTGCGGGGGAGGTACCAAAAGGAGTTGAACTCGATCTAAGTTTGACAAAAATATTAGGATGCACCAAGTTTGGACCAAATCGGATACTCACTTCGAGAGTTATCGTGCGCACCAGCCAGCCAGACGGACAGACGGACGGACGGACATCGCTAGATTGATATAAGAGGACATTTTTCCCATTCTCATTCTTGGTGCGATAGACTGGGTTAAAAAAGAAAAATATTTTGTATTCGACAAATGCAATGAGCTATAATTCTGAAATTTGGAATAAGATTTACTAATGAAGTGCAGGAAAAGTTTTAAAATTGTACCATTTGGTATTATGTAAACGGATAGAGCTAAAAACTTTAAATTCGGTATGAGAATCGAGGTTGGAAAGTAAGTTTGCTGTATGAAGGTGGCTTTGGAAATGTATACTAAGTGTGTGAAATGAACTAAATAGTAATAAATCTGTAACAGTTTGGTTTAGGGCGAATGGATGAAGCTGAAATTTTGCATTGGGGTTCCTGTTGGTGGTACACAATTTTGTATTGGTACCAAATTTGTTATTGGTTGAAGAGATAGAACTGAAATCCTTAAATTTCATGTTAAGGTTTCTGTTGGTAGCTGGAATTGAGACCGCCTCCATGATTTTCGAAATGCGTATTTTAACTGTACGAAAAGTACTAAATTGGTTGGGGTGTAGAGATAGATTCTGAAATTTGATATGGATGTTGATGTTTGTGTCTATAGTTGAGAGAAGGACCTGGGTTTGGATATGTATATTACAATTGTACTATATGAGGGAATGAGGGAAATTAAAAAGCTGAAATCCTGACATTTAATATTAAGGTTACTGTTGGCATCTGAGATTGAAATATGGAGATTGTTTTGAAAATGCTTACTTTGACTGTACAAAAAGTACTAAATAATTCAAAATTTATTATTAGGTGAGATAGGGATAGGGCTGGAATCCTGAAATTTTATATTGAGGTCACTGATGGTTTCTGGGATTTAGGTATGGTGGTGACCAAATTTCATTATGAAAAGACGTTGTAATAGTTTTGTCCAGAAAAGTTGGATGTGGGTCCATTGTGCAATGATTTTACTAATATACTCCTTCAACTTCAAAATTATACATTTTGAAGAAGTTTTGACTTAAAAGGAAAACATTTTTCTATTATTCTTTCCGAAAAAAGAAAAAACGATTTAATAATAATTAAAACTTGAAAAACTGTTAAATTCTTATTGTAATGATGCGAAACTTAAAAAAAATCGGTAAATAATGTACCATTATATGGGGGCTATACGAAGACGTGGACCTGCACCGACAATTTTCAGTCATAGGCTGTAATATCCATTACGAACTTCAAATAAAAAAATTCGGTGAATAATGTCGCTAAAATCATCAAAATACCGAATATCAGGAGGTGCAGTTATATGGAGGTTATGCGAAGGAGTGCACCTGGACGGACAATTGAGTAAAATTTTATCAACTTACTTCATTTTGTTCGGAAGCTAGAGTGATTTCCACAGAAGGATAAACGGATATGCTGATCAAGAATATATGCACTTTGTGGTGTCTAAAATGTATATTTAAGGGTGTTACAAACGGAATGACAAACCTAATATAACCTCAATACAATGTTTGAGGGTATAAAAAGGCTTAACACGAACGAATCTTAAATTTTAAGATAGACTTTTTACTGAAGAAGTATCCGCTTGCTAGAGTCACGAAAATGTTGATGTTTTTTTAAGACTTGATACTCGAACGCTATGTATTGTTTCTGAGGAGCAAAGAGCTATCTATTAAGGATCAGGAAATATATTCCTAAGTTAAAAAAAATTTAAGAAAAATATTTGGGAAATCTAATTAAAATCATCGAATATCTGGAAGTATGGTTTTTGGAAGCCATTATAGACAATTGTCTACTACAGTGAAGTTTGAAGGAATTCAGTTTAAAATACTGAATACATGGATGTATATTTATATGGGGCTATAGAACGACGTGGACTTATATAGACAATGCACCGATTGGTAACTCTAAATCCCGAATTTTAACCATTTTATTGGAAAACTGTGCTGGAATCGCCAAAATACCGAACTTCGGAAGACACCATTGTATAGGAATTATACAAAAAATGCGTAGCATTACAGGGTGAGATAAAAAACTGCAACAAAGTCAAACGCCATAATTTGTACATTTTTTTTAATTTTATTGCATGAAAGCAAAAAATGTCGGTAATAACATCAAATTTTAAAATAAGTTTAGATTTTATCGAATTGGTCACCTTTGGAATTAATTATGACCTTCAAATGGCTAATGAAAACGTCATACGCTGACCGAAGGTGCACATTTACAGCTGACCTTTTTGGCAAGTAAAGACGATAATTTTGTTTGTTTACAAACTGCTGGACAACGAATGTTTTCTTATCGGAGAAAACCAAATTCGGCAATTCATCACTTTCGGCCAAGCGAAGTAACTCTTTAGCTCTTTTGAGTCTATTTTCTTTCTGTTGCGATGTAAGTTCTTGCACTTTTTGAAATTTCAATGGCTTTACCCCGAGTTCATTTTTCTATATTTACGGAATGGAATATTGTGATATGTTCAGCTCACGAGCCATTTTGGCTTAGAAATGACAGCAGTCTGAAGTTGGTTGCAGTTTTTTCATCTCACCCTGTATATTTCGTTTTCAATCCTAGGAATGTGCAAAATTTCATAGCTCAGTCTTAAATAGTGCGAATAACAAATTTGATAGGTCCTCCATTTGATAATAGAGGATGCGGCAATTTCATATCACAGATTCCAGTAGCAAACTCTGGCTGGACCTCAGTATGGTATTTCAGTTATGGAAAATTTTCAAATTTGGTATTTGAGGTTCGTAATGGATGCTACAGCCTATGACAAAATATTTTTAGTGCAGGTCCACGTCTTCGTATAGCCCCCATATAAAGGTACCTCCCAATATTCTGTATTTTGATGATTTTAGCGTCATTATACTCCGAAGTTCGTAATGGGAACTACAGTCTGTGACAGAAAATTGTGTATGCAGATCCAGGTCTTCGTGTAGGCCCCATATAGCAGTACCTCCCTTTGTTCGGTATTTTGACTATTTTAGGTACAATGCTCACCGAAATTGATTGAGATTTCGTATTTGAAGTTCGTAGCCTGTGACAGAAAATTGTCTATGCAGGTCCAGGTCTTCGTATAGATCCGATACAACGATACCTCCCTATATACGGTATTTTGATGATTTTAAATACTTATCGGCTACATTTTAATGGATTTAATTTTTTGAAATTTTTCAAATTCGTTCCAAATGTATTTAAACTTCCGGCCGGCAGAATTTACTGCTTTTTAACTTGTTTTTTTTTTTTTTTACAAAATCTAAATATAAAGGATATCCATATATGCTCTCTAATTTTTGAGTGTATACCGAAACTCTGCTCTAATTTCCGAGATATCAACATAAAGACTCTAAGTTTGCGGATATTTGACAAATTGGAGAAAGTCTTGTTAAAAAAAATCTATACAACATTTTATAACAACATGGACACATCTGCATTTTTCCGAATAATTCATCTATTAGCGTTACCAATACAATTCGAGATTAAAACTTTGACATGTTTGATATGGAATACATAAGCATTGCGCCATCGATATGCTGGTTGTGTATAAAATTCTCATGGAAGAGAAGATCAGACCTCGACCACGAAAATATTCCTTATGTCAATTTCCTGTATAACTTCTTCAAATAATCAATTTTATGCACCTGATCAAAAGTTCACATATTGAAAGTTTTGAAATCACTCTGCGCCTTTTTCCAAAATGTATCACCATATAGAAAAATGCTTAATAATCGGCAGACACATATGTTATAATGTATTAGTTCATCATTATAAGGTAATTGTTATAAAAACGAGATACGATTCTTTACAAACATTTGGGCGAACATTTACTTTTGGGGAAAAATGTTCATCGCCACAAAGACAAATTACTTCCTTGAAACTCACAATACACAATAACAATATTCTACACACTTCCGCCTTACTTCACTACAACTCGTCAGAGATGGCTTCAGAGGCACTTATTTTCTCTGTATTCATTGAATACTTTCAACATTTTTTAATCCAAATCCATGTAATTTGTTTGGTATTTTTATTTAATTTTTTTTAATATTCCTTGTTTAATTCTGGGTGTTTTCCTTAAATTAAAAATATACAGTTATTTTCTATTAATTTTTTCTTACTTTTTCCAGTTTGTTGCTTTTTATTATCCTCTGTAGGTTTACTTCAATATTTTGTCTACAATTTCACTTTTTTTCCTTCACTTTTTCTTTCGCTCAACCTCCACGATTAGGTATTTGATGAAATAAATTTTCCTTGGATTTATTCTTTAAAATTTCCACTTTACGTCTCCTCTCGGTATCTTAGAAGTTCTGGCTCATCAGCTTTGTATCCCGTGAATTTGATATCTGTCTATTGGGTTTGGTGCACTTGGGCTTTAAAGTACGCCGTGCAGAGAGTGTGTGTGTGTGTCGATGTGTGTGAGTGGGGTGCGTTATGTTGGTATGTGTCCTATTTGTTGTGGTACCGCCGATTGTTTTTTCTGCACTGACATCCTCCCATCAATATGCTTCTTTGCTGCTTTTTCGATTTATGTACATACGGCAGAGGCAAAGTTATACTCACACACACACGTTCACTACCACCTAGAATGTACTTGACATTTCGTTTTCCTTCTTTATTCACTTTATCTTTTGGTGGCAGGATGCAGCAGCAAATGCGAGCAACTCCCTCCCTCCCACCTTGCATATGAAGAGCACATAGCCGAAAATTTTGGGTTTCCTTCTACGCTGTTCGGCGGCATTGCTTTCCCCACCCCCTCTCTCAGTCAAAATTTTCGGTTGCATACCATCACTATTTGGCTGAGGTACACTCTGTGTCTGTATCCCATTTTTGGATTTGAGTTCTATGTTTTGTTTTTTTTGCATTATTTGTCTGGCATTTGATTTGTGCCGTTGTTGTTGGCCTGGCCGATTGGTGGGGGATGATGCGTAAACATTACCGGAGAAAAGGCGCAAAGCTGTGTCCTCCCTAAGCTGTGACTGGGATATGTTCCTTCTTCAGTGGTTTGTTTACAATTTTGTTTTTAATGTTTTCCTGTTTTTCTTTCATCTTCCACATCGTTTTCGTTTCCTTAGACCGGCTTTTCCCAGCATTTTCCAATGTAAGGGTATTTTAGTTGGCTGCCTTATTCCATTGGTGGTTGGCAAAAAAATTTGTAGAAAAAAGCTTATTTTAGACACAAACCACAAGTCAATGTTGCCATATTGTGTTGTAGAGTTCCCTCTTTCTCTCCACTCGTGAAAAATGTATCGGAAATCAACGTTTATTTAAAACTTTTTTGTAGACTACTTATTTTTAAAATTACGATTACGATTAATCCACAAAGCTTAATATCTCTGGTTCACCCTCCGTTAGCTAACAACACGAAGGTCATAAGTCTAATTTTGAAGAAAACTGCAGTTTTTGCCTCATTAACACCCAGAAGAAATGACTAAGGCTTGAAATTTGAAATGCAGGTAGGTGGTCGATATGGCAAGATTTTTGGAAATTCAAATTTATCATGTGGATCTCTATTGATGAGAGACACCAAATGTTGATAGTAAAACTACAAAAATGCGAAAAAAAAGATGAAAAGCTAGAATTTTGAGGGTAATGCCTTCCATATAGGGGTGATAAGCTAACTTCTGAATATTTCTACTTAAAAGATCTAAATACTAAAATGAATTAGAAAAGTGGTTCTGGAGCCAAAATGCGATACTTTTCCTAGTCGAATTTTGGCATTTAGGTATATTGATTCAAGATATGAGGTAAATAACGTTTTGGGAATTAGTACCACAAGTGTCATGGCCTTTGTGCTCTACAAATGTGACAATACTTCTTCTTGTGTTAAGTAGGTACCAGAATAATTGATCCGATCTCAACCATCTTTATAACAGATCTTGTGTTGATGGAAATATGGAGATGTACCAAGTCTAAACGGAATCGGAAGTTAATTTCGCGTTTTATTAGCTTTATGGATATTTAAAATGTTGAACATTTGTAGGGGAGGTACCAGAAGTAGTGAACCGATATATTCCATATTCATTCCATGAATGATTTGTGTAATTTTAAGACAATCTTTTACATCACATTTTATAAGAGTTATAAGTATTCAAAATTGTTGACCGTTTGTGGGGGAGTTACTTTATGGAGTGGACCGATATTGTCCATTTTCTCACCTGACCTAACACTCATGCAAATATTAGGAGTTGCAAAGTTGGTACAAAATCGGAGTATCCGTTTTCTTTCTGTGCAGTAAAATATGTTTTTTTTTTTTTTTTTTGAAAATTTGGACCTTTTGTGGGGGAGGAACTTGATGGAGTGGACCGGTATTTTCCATCTCCGAACTCGATCTAAGTTTGATAATAGTATTATGATGTACTGAGGTTAGATCAAACCGGATACTCTCTTCGAGTGTTATCGTGCGCACTTGCCAGTCAGACATACAGACGGGCGAACATCGCTAGATCGACTCCAAATGTCCTGAAACGAATTTGGTCAAAAAATACCTATGGTCTAAAACCGTTATTTTTATGAGGCCCTCTCTAGCCATATGGCTGAGAGTATACAAATACATAAGCAGTGTGGGACATTGCTAATATGAAAGGGCGAGATAAGACTGATTTCGTTGAAATTCGAATAACAGGAATATTAAACTAGTAAAGAAAGCCCTAAAGTCGGACGGGGCCGATTTTATGATACCCTACACCACTTTGCTAATTTAGTTGAGCTCCACTTAATAATTAAAAGTTTTTATGAGAGAATTCAATCCTACACGCTATGATTATAATTATAATTTGAAATTCAAAGGACTAAATATGCCGAAGCATTTGTATCTTTTAAATTCGGACTTGTATTGCCCAATTGGTGCGAAATTAATTTTAAATCGGATAAAAATATATATGAGAACTATATCCAAATCTGAACCGATCTCTATAAAATTTGGCAAAGATATTTCTGAGCTGTATTTGATATATTTCCTTGAATATCGTTGTTACGGAGTGCATATTACGGCTTTGGGTAACAAATATAACAAATCGGATGAACAGTATATATGGGAGCTATAGCTATATCTGAACCGATCTTCACCAAATTTGACATACTAGCTCAATTCGTTCGTAAGTGCCAAATTCCGTCCCATTTAGGCAAATATTAGACGTTTGGTGCACTATAAAAGGTAAATCGGACGAATTTATATATGGTAGCTATATCCAAATCTGAACCGATCTCGATAAAATTTAGCAAATGTATTTCTGAGATGTATTTGATATATTTCCCCAAATATTGTTGTTACAGAGTGCATATAACGGCTGCGGAGGACAAAAATAACAAATCGGATGAACAATATATATGGGAGCTATAGCTATATTTGAACCGATTTCGATCAAACTTGGCATACTTATTTTCAGGTCCGATATGATCGTACGTGCAAAATTCCATACTATGGGTCTATCTTGTTTCCTTCTGCCTGTTACAAACAAATGCACAAAGACATAATACCCTGACCACCTTGTGGTGTAGGGTATAAAAAATGCTGCATCATGGTATTTGTCAACAAGTTAAAAAGCAATTCATTTCGGTCGTGCCGAACTTTTAATACCCTCCACTATTTGAAAATAAAACTTGCAGGATGTGAAAAACCGGTGAAAAATGCCGCTTAAATCCAAATGTAATACAGAGGTCTGCATTAAAGCTCTACCCTAAATTTTTCGAAATATATCTTGTTCTATAGGAGTCTCATTGTATATAGTCAGAACTATATAAAAATCTAAACAACTTTTGGCTTCTTCTTCTAAAGCTCAGAATGGCTATTGTATTTGGAATGAATTTGAAAAAAAAAAAAAAATACGATAAAAACTCTGTTAAAATCTTAAAAATACTGAATATTGCCTCTATATTGGGGTCTATACAAATACGTGGACATGCATAGGCAATGTTTGTCATGAGCCATTAAAATATTCAAATACAAAACTTAAACTTGGGTACCGTTCTATGTGGGTTATGCGATATGGTGCACCTATATAGACATTTCTTTTCCAGGGGGTAAAGTGCTTATGAAGATAATCTAGAATGGATTTTTATAAAATTCCTTTGAAAAATGTAGCTAAAATCATCAAAGTACCGAATATCGGAAGGTATCGTTATATAGGGTATAGACGAAGACGTGGGCCTGCGTAGGTAATTTTTTGTCATAGGTTGTAGTAAACATTGAAGTCTTCAACTACAACATTTGAAACATTTCCGATAAATAATGAAGCTAAAATCATCAATGTACTGAATATAGGGAGAGGAGCACATGTATAGACAATACTCTTCGAAGAAGGGGTAAAGTACTCAGAAGAAAATCCTTTTGTGGATTTTCCGACAATTTCAATGAACAATTTGGCTACAATCATCAAAATACCGAATATGAGGTATCTTTATTGGTTTTGACTCTAGCGTGATTACAACAGATGGATGGACGGACAGGACTAAATCGTCGTAGAATTTTACTCTTATCAGCAATATTTATACTTTGTTATGTCTAAAATTACTATTTTGATGAGTTACAAACGGTATGACGACATTATTATACACTCCACACTATGTATGGGGGGGTGTTATAAAAAGAGATATCGAGAACCAAGTTCCACCAAATGGAAAATTTCGGTTGTGCAGAAACCCATTCAATTTGGGCTGATATTACATATTTGGTCACAATAACGGTGAAATCGGATGAAAATATATATGCTAACTATATCTAAATTTGAAACGACGTCAATAAAATTTGGCAGTGTTATCTCTGAGCTGTATCTGATGGAAAATAAATTATTGTTCTACAGTGCATAGCATGAAAGCGAGGGACTTAAACATCAAATCGGTTGGAACATATATATGGGAGCTATAGCCATATCTTTACCGATTTAATCCAAATTCGAAGTGCTTTCTTCTAAGCTGAATTCGGTCAGATGTACCGAAATATATACTGCTCGGTCGAATATTACAAAGATACATGTTTGAGCCATACATGTGGGAGCCATACATGTGGGAGCCATATTTAAATTTTGACCGATTCTTATAATTTCAATACGGTCCTTGGGCTAATCAAATGATTTGTGAAAAATTTAATCTCAATTTTACAATAAATACATCCTGTATTTTGTTCACAAAAATACATGAAAAGACAGACAAACGGACATGCATAAATCGACTCAGAATGAGGTTCTACGCAGATCATCAAAAGGAACTATGGGTCTAACTCTTTTCTTTCTCTGTGTTACAAACAAATGCACAAAGATATTATACCGTGTATCACATTGGGCTTGAAAACGTAAAATTTAATAAAACAATTAAAAATGATCGGTCGGTTTTTCCGACAGATGTATACCCTAAGCCAATGTTCGATTATTTAAAAATATTTTGACTTCTTTTATGATTATTCAAATGTTTAAACCTTTATGCAGTTGGTTCCAAAGGAATTGGCCATTTTGTGTCGAACCTAAATAAATATGATATACATATTGCGACGTGCTACGTTTGGACTGTGTTGTGTTAATGGAAATTTTGGGATAGGATAGGATGTTTTGAATAGAATCGGATGTCAATTTTTGCTTTTAATGAGCTTCATGGATATTCAAAAGTTTGAGCCTTTGTGGGGGAGGTGACAGAGTATATAGCCCATCTTCACAATTGGTCTTTTGTTAGTGGAAATAATGGGAGTGAAATATAGAGAGAACCTGATGGTTTTGTAAACGTTTTGGTTATTCAAAACTTCAAATATTAGGATTCGCAAAGATGGAACGAATTCCGCTTATAGTTTCTCTTTCTGTGCAAAAAATATATTTTTTGAAAATTTCGACCTCTTGTGGGGGAGGTACCGGAAGGAGTGGACCGATATATTTCATCTTAACACCAGACCTTGGGTTAATATAAATATTGGGATGTGTGAAACTTGAAGACAATCGGACTCCTACATCACATTTTATGAGAGTTGTAATTATTTAAAATTTTGACCCTTTGTAGGGGAGGTACCAGAAGGAGTGGACCGATATTGTCCATTTTCGCACCAGACCTAGCACTGATGCAGATATTAGGATTTGCAAAGCAAAATCGGATAATCGT